TTTTTATAGTAATGTACAATACAAATAGTTGTTTATAGTAGTGTAGAAATTTGATTTGCAATTGGCAATTTGTGAATCTTAATGTAATTGATGCCAAATGTATCTTCATCAGCATGTCAAATGGTAATCATTCTCTATGTAAAATATGAGATTGTATACCAAAGTATTTCTTCAGTGTACTAATTACAGTTTCAGTTTTTGTTTCTTTTTCAAAGATTACTAATATTTACGAGACTAATATTTTGAAGATGTGACAAAGTATCTCATAATCAGTCTACAAGGAAATATTACATGAATTTGTAATTTCATACAAACGAAGGTCAAACTGATCCAATTTTCATGTAAATTAATTATTAATACGATCTTAAACGTTTTTACCTTTTTTTAAATTTTACAGAATTTGAATGAAAACACATGCTTGCATGTTATTATATATCTTCATGCATTTCGAAGAAAATGAAATTCGAACAACTAAATGATGAAATTCAATTTATCGACGAAAATTCTAATGAAACCTAATTCTACTCCGTACTCGGATAATTTGAGCAAACTTTTATTCGAATGATAAAGAAATGATAAACAATTGAAAGCATCATTTTTATCACGAACAATAGATAATTTTTTTATTCAAATAAAATATCAAAAATAATTTACTTTATACTTCTGATTTCCAAGGAGAAGCTTATTCTTCGGACTAGATAAAACAGATATCTATAATAAGTGATTTTTAATTTTCTTCTATCTGTTATCTATTGTACATAGTTACGCAAGTAATATCGTTACTTTCTATGAACATGATTTCTTGCTGTTTATTTAGAGAAATAATATCTTTTGCAACTGAAGACAAAGTGAAATAGATAATGAAATGGAATGAAAAGAAATGGCAAGGAAACCCGTAGAAAATGTTATGGGAAAAGAAATTCAAAACAATTATGGTAAAACAAAAAAGCAAAAAATTCACGTTGTGAAGACTCATCTTTCCTTTGTTTCCAGTTCTTTAATACGATCATGCATCACAACGTGCGCGAATAATATTTACACATTCACGTTGCAAGTAAAATAATTTTTTTATACATTAATTTCTTCACACACCATTGTAGTGAAATATTTACCCATCTTTGTATCGCATAAAGTCACGTGCACAGACAATCGATTGCAACGTGCGCGACGTAAGACAATCCGGAAGTGCCAGCAGTGATTCGAAAGATGAAAAATTCTAAGTATTGCAGAAATCACACGTACGTTGTTGATAGCAATAATGCAATCAATGTTAGACACTTTACTATCGTCGCGACGTGCATTCGTAGTATGCTGTCGCAATTGTCTATACACGTGTCGTAGATATGATTTTATACAGCGCAACGATGGCAATCGATTTCTCTACTTGAAAAATAATCGAGCAACAAGAATGAAACTTTAGAGGTTTGAAGTAATGGAAATTAGCTTCGAATGTTTCTAAATCATTAAATAATTAAAAAAAAAAAAAATCGCTATGTTTCTACTTGCAAATTTTAATGATAGAAATATCTTTTTTAAGTGAAGATGTTCTGGTTCTTTGTTATTATTGTGTCAACCATTTTTTGATTCTGATAAAGACTGAAATCTTTCCAAAACCAAGCAACTTTAGTGATGAAATATTTGGAGGAAGAATGTTTGTCGAAATCAATTTAAAGTTGATCGATATTATCAAATTAGTGACTTCGATCAATGCGATCCTATAAGTTATAATTACTAATAAGCTAAGAAAGATTTATTTCAAATAATCGTTTCAGTATCTTAGAATATTATGATTAAAATCAAACTTATATTTCAATCAGAACGAAAATGAATAATTATTTTCAACTTTGATAATGACACACAATTATTATTAAATGATATCATTAAATTAATTAATAATTTAAAATAATTATTTTTAACATTGATAACGTGAATAATTAATTTAACATTGCAAAGTAATGCAAATATTTTTATTTCTTTTATTTATTTATTATTATTATTTTTTTTCCCAGTTTTAAACTTTCCAATAATTTACTCGATTTCGATTTCAAACATGTAATTTTAATTCCAAGAACATTCACTAGGTTAGATATTCGAAAAAATTATTTTAACAAAAGATTTATTCAAAATACAGGGTAAAGATTGAAATGAAAAGTTGTTTCGTTCATAATTCAATAATAAAATAATAATAATAAAAAAAGAAGATTTTCGTCTTCAAATGAACTAACACTTAGTTGTTTCAATTAACATCTAGCTGAACAAGATGATATATTATTTAAATCACTACTTTTAAAGTATAAATATTTTTGAAGTATAGAACTTTGCTTCAATGTCTATAGCACTTGATTTATAAACGTAGTTCTTGTATAACAAACAATCGCATCGATCACAATAAGTTTGAAATATATTGCCATAATTTATTGAATAATACCGCCAACATATTTACATATCCGACTTCGTCTTATCGCTCTAAAGAGGTGAAAGGCTAACGAGCGATACAAGAAGACGTGATTTTTCACTTTCGACAGTTTATAACGAACGGATGCAAGTTAATTGCCAGTTAACGTCTAACAAGCAACACCTATCGGGTGTGAAAAAAAATCTCTGACAATACGACAAGGCGGAAAACAGTTCGCGGAAATTTCCTTGTCTAGAAAAAGAATAAAAGAAAACTGATTCAGCTAGATAGTATTCAAGTACCAAGAACTATCAAGAAAAACATCATAAAAACACGTGCATGCAAACAGATAATTTATCGCGCCGCGATTTATAAAATGTAGATCGTATTGTCGTTGCTTCAGTCATTTCGATCATGTTTCGGTTGGCGTTCGTAGCGTGTATCCTGTTCGTCTCATGGGGCGCGGCGGTGAACGTGAACTGGTACAAGAACATCATCGTTTACCAGATCTACCCGAGGAGCTTCAAAGATAGCAATGGCGACGGTATCGGCGATCTGAAAGGTATCACCAGCAAGTTAGAGCACATCGCTGACATTGGCGCGAAGGCCCTCTGGCTCTCGCCGATTTACACGTCGCCGCAAGTCGACTTCGGCTACGACATAGCCAACTTCACGGACGTCGACCCGAGTTACGGTACCCTGGCCGATTTTGACCAGCTGGTAGCCAAGGCCAAGAAACTCAAGCTCAAAGTGATTCTCGACTTCGTGCCGAATCACAGCTCTCACGAGCATCCGTGGTTCAAGAAGAGCATTCAAAAGGTCAAACCGTACGACCAGTACTACGTCTGGCAGGATGGAAAAGTCGTCAACGGGAAGAGACAACCGCCAAACAACTGGCTGAGCAACTTTGGGGGCTCGGCCTGGGAATGGAACGCCGTGCGCAAACAATATTATCTGCACCAATTCGCTACGGGTCAACCGGACTTGAATTATCGCAACGCGGACTTGAATCAGGCAAGCAAACTTATTTCTTAATAGTTCATCTTGAAAGTGGTGAATAATTTGATAAATTTAAAAGAATATTGGTAAACATGGTAGTATAATGTTTCTTGAGTGTGATGAACATTATAGGAAATAATTAGAAAATAACACGTTCTTATGGCTATAAATGGACTTGAGATAACATTTTTAATCTTTAAAAAGGCACAAGTCACCGTTGAAAAAAAAATAAGATTAAGATGAAAAAAGTTAAAGTAAGAAATGTTACGTTCAAATAATACTTCGTAATTTGTAATTCATTCTTCCACCATTTTGCGTATGCGGGAGGGATTTAAAATAATTATGGTGTGTAATAAATCCATTTACATCTGTTGTACTTCAGTGTTGCGATTACATGTCTTACATTTTTGTACAGCGGTGTCAATTCAATATTATATAATAGCGGTGTAAATCCAGAATTTTGAATAGTGAATCCTCGCCCATTGATGTTTTATAGAGTTCTGTTCTCAAAAATTGCATCCATCATAGTTTTAACCAATTTACCATTTCTTCATTAGTATTTTTTAACCTTCTGAAATTATTACTATTTAAAAAAATCGCTGAGTTAATCGAACACCACTACTTTAATAATAAAAAACATAGCTTTTAAAATTCTCGTAACATTTTCAACGTCATATCTTAAAATGGGACTTAAGCCACTTTCGAAATAAAAATCTTTATCGTCATTGAGTGATTTTAAGTATATCAGTTACAATTTTTTGTTTAAAAATAAAAAGATAACGTAGAAATGTAAATATTAAAGCTAGCTTGATTTTTTTGGAACTTAGGCTTCTTTCAAAATGAAAAAAAAAATTAGAGAATAATAGTTCATTTTGCGATTAAAATCTTTTTTTTTTTTTTTTTTTTTTTTTTTGATTAGAAATAACTATTACAAGTGAGCGAGTAGAATTTCTTTTTTTCTTTCTTTCGTTACCATTTCGGTTCTCTTCAGAGATCATAATTATACATTAGCTTGGCCAGAAAGTAATTACGTTTCTTTTTTTTGTAAAAATTTTCGAAAGAACTTTTGTAATAACCGTTGTCTTTTTGGTATTTCTGCCATTCAGGAGATGAAGAACGTGTTCACGTTCTGGATGGACCGCGGTGTCGACGGTTTCCGCATCGACGCGATCAACTTCATGTTCGAGGACGCGAAGTTGCAGGACGAGCCGGAATCGAACAGAACCGACGTCCCTAAGGACGATTACGACAGCTTGAACCACATTTACACGGTGGATCAACACGAGACGTACGAAACGCTGAAAAGCTGGCGGCAGCTGATGGACGAGCACTCGAATCGCACGAAATCTGACCCGAGGCTCGTTTTCACAGAAGCGTATACCAATCACGATCTGACCATTAAATACTACAACTTTGGCTCCTTCCCCTTCAACTTCAACTTCATCACCCGACTGACCAACGAGTCTACAGCGGCGGACTATAAAGACCTGATCGACAAGTGGGTGAAGACAGTGCCAAAGGGCAAAGTGCCGAACTGGGTCGTTGGCAATCACGACAATCATCGCGTAGGTTCGAGGTTAGGTGTCAAACGCGCTCAGCAGATTATCCAACTGTCGATGGTACTGCCTGGGATCTCGGTGGTCTACAACGGCGACGAGATCGGCATGGTGGACAGGAACTTCACGTACGCGGAGACGGTGGACCCGGCCGGTTGCAACGCCGGTCCCGCTCGATACTTCCTCAAGTCGAGAGACCCCGAGAGAACCCCCTACCAATGGAACAACAGCACCAGCGCTGGTTTCTCCACCAGCTCGAAAACCTGGCTACCCGTGCACTCGAACTACAAAACCCTGAACCTAGAGGCTGAGAAGAAGGTGTACTACTCGCCCTACTGGCTGTTCAAGACCGCGGCCAGCTTGAAGAGGCAAGCTGTGATCGCGCGTGGCTCCGTCAAGCTGAACGTATACGGCGAGAAACTTTTGACTGTCACTCGTACTCTAGGCAACGACGTCGTCGTGGCGTTGTTCAATTTCGCCGATGAGCCTGTCACCGTGAACGCTGCGACAGGATTATCATTGCCTTCTAACATGGTTGTTCACACTGTCACCGATGATTCCGAGCTTCGTCAAGGTGCCTTCGTCTCCACGGATTCGTTCACTGTCCCGAGCTCATCCACCATCATGTTCACCACTCCCAATTTACTTTGGTCGATGGATGAGCAGGATGATTGAGTCGCGTTCACTTTGGACAGTTTTTCTTCTTCTTTTTTTTTCTTCTTCTTCTTTTTTCAAGCGTTGTTTAAGAGTGCAACTGAAGCAATTAAATTAAAGCAATTGAATTTCGACTTCAAACGATCGAGAATTATGATTTTAACGTGAGATGACTTATTACGAAGTATCATTGTCAATGTCGTTGCAAGTGATTACACTTCTGATTATGTTTCATTCGGAAAATATTTATACTCATGATAAAAAAAAAAAAAAAAAACACTTTAAGAAACAGATCATTTCCCTTTATATATGATTCGGTTATTTTCATTGTACTCTTCGTTATATGATTCATGTTATTTAATTCTGTGTTTATGACAACTAATTATTAAACTTACAAGATACTTGTAAAACATGTTGTATTTTTAATCACTGTATGAAATTATTCTACAGCACGTTTCTCGTCCAGAATTAGTAATTTTGTTAGACAATGTTGGTATTATGGCGGATTTATGGCGGATTTTTTTGAACTTACAATAACAACATGATACTTTGTAATAAAAATATCAAAGTCACATCGCGTAATTTTCAATGTACAAATGTATACGTTATCAATGTTAATGAAATATAAAATAAACATTAAATGATTTTAAAAGTTACTGATTAATATTTGGACATTTATTCAAGTATATTGCGTATTCATATATATTTCATAAATATTAAAAAATATATATTTCATTCCACATGTTTTGCATATTTACGTACAAGAACAGATGTATTATATAATTTCAAGTATTATTTGCTCTTACTCGTACGAAATACATCTAATTAAATTAATTCGGACTCTTAGTGATAAAACTCTCAATAATAAAAGTATCTAATAAAATCCTTTTTGCAAATTATAAATCACATGAATACCATAGAATTAGATTGGGATATAACGAATTGTATAAATCATTATATAGAAATATATGATATATATCTTTTCAAATAAAACGATATTTTCATCATTCAAATTATATTATTCAATGCAGCTCTGTAAAACATTCTTTGTAAAAAACAGTTCTGTGTAAAAAAAAGCTCATGCATGTCGAAAAACTGTTGCAATAGCATAGAAGATATTTCAACTTCAAATCTAAATAAATCGTATGAATGAAGATTATCTTATGTATTGATTTTATAAAATTGGGATTAAAATATCTTCTGATCTAATCATATTTTGACACGAATGAATACTTCTTTTAAAAGGAATGTTGAGCTGCATGGAATTGGCTGAAAAAAATATTAAATGATCATTTGATGATCTCTTTCGAGTATTAAATAGAAATATAAATTTCTCGTAGGTAGAATAATTTCCTAAAGTTTGTTGTTTATTTCTGAATTAGTTAAATTCAAGTGCAATTGATAAATATTCAAAATGAATCATGACACTTTCTTGAAAATAACAAGCTTTAATTGTTCTAAAATTTATAGAAATAGATAACTCTTCATTTTTAACTCTTCATTCCATTGAGAAAGATAAATTATATAAAAAATGTTATAGTCTGTATGTCAATTGTATTTGTATTTTAGTATTACTACAACTGATTTGCATGTATTAATAACTTTATGACATTAAAACATAGTATTGTAAATAATATTGTGAATCATTCTGCAAAACAGTTGTGTAAGAATCTGCAAATTTTCCAGACTGAGAGTGGGACAGGTGCAACTTTCGAAGAAGAAGTGGTGGAAAAATGGACTAACCAATGAAATTTATCTCCAATCAATTGAAGCTTTGTGAACCCCCATTTTAAGAACACATTGGGGTGCATTGGAAGGGCACGCAAGATATAAACCCTGTAATTTCTTGAGAGCAATGAGTCGAAAACCATTGTTCCAGTGCAATTTTACAATCAGCGTGGCATTTTGACTTGAAACAATGCAGTTGTAGTATACTTGAAAAATTCTTTTTTTTTGATTCATTTTTATATATATAGAATCATACATGGAAAATCAGAATTTAGATCATATTCTATTGATATATCTTGATTGAAAAATGAAAAAGAAAAGAATAAAATTGCTGTTCATTGCTATCATTGCAAAGAAACAATGCAGTTGTAGTATACTTGAAAAATTCTTTTTTTTTTTTATTCATTTTTATATATATAGAATCATACATGGAAAATCAGAATTTAGATCATATTCTATTGATATATCTTGATTGAAAAATGAAAAAGAAAAGAATAAAATTGCTGTTCATTGCTATCATTGCAAACATACACTGTGTTTCAAAAATTCTTGAATTCTGAAATCGACAGCTTTTGTACCTTTTTGAGATTTTTTTAGATGGGAAAATATAGAATTAAATAACAAATATAGAAATATAGGAAATGTAGAATTAAATAACATTTCAATTAAATATGTGACATTTTGAAGGAACAATATTTACGCGAGATAAAATATTTAAAAAAAGAAACGTTTTACGTTAACTATTGCACGTAGGTGCAATAAGATTATTTTTATCAGTAGAAATAAACTGTGTAAATCAAAATCGTGCAGTGAATAACATTAACTTATTTAATAAATTATATTTCCCTTTCAATATTTATATATACATATATTATGTAATTTATATATGTGTATATTATATTATAATAATGTAATATACATATAAATATATTATTTTAATATTTAATATTTAACAATTTCATCAGCTTCCTTTTTAGAATTATTGCAACGTATAAGCGATGCTTTGGTTAAATGTATCTATACATGTTTTGTAATTACTATCTTACAATTTTGCCCAGGCAATGTCAACTCGTATTTATGTTCCTTTTCTCAACTTCTACGTCGAGTGTCACATGAATTTATGATGATTCTGTGTTTACGTTCTGAAGACGTTGTACAACATACAGGATGTACAAAATGGCTGTACGAAATTCACAAATATTTGCAGAGCATCTTATAATTTTATCGTTTAAAGTCGCCAAAAACCTAAAGTTTAATATTGAACGAAGAGCATATAACAAGTGAGAACACAATTAGAATAATTTTGATATTATTTATTCAATATATAATTATCATAATATGCTTCTTTTAGTTAATTATTTTATTAATGATTAATAAATACTTTAATTATATTATTATTATATTACATAATATTAATTATATTATTATTGATACTCTAGTATGTATTAAACATTCAAATAGGTTAGGCAAATTTTATTCAAAATGAAGATGGAGCACAATTATTTGAAGTAACATTTTCACAATTTGTAGCGGAAGATACGAATGAAACTTATCATGATTCTTATACTCTGACTAATCTAGTCAATTATTTAACGGGATAACAAATGTGATTCAAAAAAGGACTGGGATTTTTGTCATTTTTTTGACAAAATGTACCACTGCAGAATGGTAACAACAATGATGTGCCTTCCTGCAAAAGCAGAATTGCCAGTTGTCAGACAGAGTAAGTAAATTGCCAGTTGTCAGACAGAGTAAGTAAACCGAAGCCTAAAAATGTTAGAAATCGAGAAATTCCCATGTCACGCGATTTCTTATTACAGAAGCAAAACAAGAGGTCTAGATTTGGTAACAGATTGTACACAAAACGGAAGTCGTATGGGAGCTAAATAAACTATTAAAAATTATGCACGAAACGAGGGATTCAAGCAACATCAATTACGAAAGCTGAAGGAAGAAACACAAAGTAAGTCGAATTTATAAATCAATAGTTTCATTCAAGAAAAGGAAAGAATGAATATTACACGTGTAATAATTGAAAAATTATTTTCAGGAACAGGAACAGGAAGAAAAGTTGCAGAACTCTTTTGATTTCAACCACTATTTGAGAATTCGAGTAGATCAATTAGATAAAATATTAAAGAGAAGATTAGAAAATTGTTAAACCATGGTAAAATTGTTAGATGAAACATAGAACATGGTAGAATTATTTTATAATGTTAAATTGCCAAAAATTGAAATCCTTACCAGTAGCATGTAATACCTAAAATATCAATTCAAATTTATATGCAAATATGAAAATTGGTGGCATTTGCTTGAGAGAAAAATAGCTATTCTTCTTGTAAATGAATACGTAAATTAAAGTTCGATTTTATCATTACAAGGCCCCCTTTGGCCTTTCAGCAAAATTATTTTATAATGATAATCACATAGACAGATGGGATCGATCTTATTGAGTCAAAAATTAGAAAATTGTTAGAATCAAGATGAAATTATGATTTCTAATAGAAACTGGATTCTCGCAGAAATGGCTAAAAAGTGTAAAAAATACAAAAAATACAGTGCGAGAAAGAATAATAGGATCACTGTTACGAACTGATTTTATTTTGAAAATAAAATGTATTGGT